CAATTTTACAAAACTACATTGTAAGATGAGAAGGATCACTCTAAATAAATTCTTTTAAAACTCTATCTCCATGTGAAACTTACCATCCCGAAAAACTAAAAATGGAGAAATAGAAGAGATTACACAATAATAAAGAGACATCCCACTTCACTCCATTACATTAAAGTTAAATTTGAGAAGTGGTCTGCCTAAGGACATACCAACGTTAAATTTGAGAAGTGTTCTGCCCTTGGGCCGGAACAATAAGAACCAAAGGACATTCTAGAAAGACGAATTCCCAACAATGACCAATCACACTTTACCTGTAGAAGTGGTCTAAAAAATAGGGAAAATGCTAAAGGTACTCTCACACCATTTTTCCATTGTAAAAAATCAGAAGTGTCTCTCGCATCTGGAAATGTCTAAATTTAATACAAAATAGAACTAAGACTATTGTCCAAATTTAATCCAAAATCGAGTTAAGGATATGTCGTTGCAAGCTTTTGGCAGAAATGGATGTTCAGCCATGTTTCTTCAATGTATTCAAGAATAACAAGAACTTTTCTGTAAATAGAATTGGATTGAAGTAGTAACTGGCTTAAGATGTGTCTATCTTTTTCTATGTAATCATGATAATACCTTTGACACGGGGAAGATGAACACATATGTTACGATGTGTTACGTTGTTGCAAGTGCAATTAGTAAAAATAAGGTAGAGAGTTATATATATATATATATATATATATATATATATATATATATATATATATATATATATATATATATATATATATATATATATATATATATATATATATATATATATATATATATTGGGGAAGAGAATTATTATTTATAAAATGACACTAATGTTAATTTTGCAATCATTTTCGAAGAGGTTTGAACCTTGTCCTGCGAAATTATAGGGTCAATTTCTTACCACTGAACAGCACCTCATAAACTGAAAAGATCAAACTTCAAGACAAAAAGCAAAAATTTGAGACGAGATAGTATATTTGGTAATGTGTACACAACATTCAACTAAAACAATGCAAGCAAACTTAACATACCAAAGAACCTCACTTTGCACTTTAGGGAGAATGAAGTATATTTGGTTTGTTAAGTTCCTTGACATGCAGATATGAATGTGAATATGCATGCTTACATGTATAACTCTGCTCATGTGATAAAAGCTACTCTACTCCTCCATAAGTAGGCAAGTCATTCTCAGCTGTCTTCATTTTTGGTCTCTCACAAGTTACAATAATCTCATCATCATCATCTCTAAACTTTCTAAAGTGAGACATATTGCCCAATTCTTCAACTTTATCCATAACATGGCCTAGTTTTGCAACCATCTCCACCATCAATGAAGTGAAGGCAGCAAAAGGTAGTGCTTCTGAGAACTCAAGGCTAGTGATCATACTCATAGTCATATTATTACTCAATTGTGGCCTCAAAACCTTCTTGTGTCCTTGTCCTTCTTTTGTTTGTTCTCGAGAGTGCTCTTTCGATTTATTTCCAACCGGTGAACAATAATCACTTTTAATACTTGATAAGGTGATTCTAGTGTCTTCATCAAGCATATAGAAGGTGGGGGTTGTGGGAGTTTTGGGGGTTATGGGGATTTGACTTCGACCATTCCTCGATCCTAGTAAAAGTTGTGGATGCGATTTCAATGCATTGTCAAGGTCTTGTAAAGCTTCACTTAGATTATCAGAGAGTCTTTCAAGGGGAAACTGCCGCTTGTTCCTTATGCTGTTCGCCATTACCCGAAGTACTTTTGATACTTCTTGTGCAAGTTTGATGCAAGAATCTTTGTACAGATTACGAATTGACCTCGGTGTCTTCATCAATCAGATTTTAAATAATACACAAGTTAAATGCATATCTAAGCAACAAATATAAAAGTTATATTTTATACTAGAGCTTATAATTCAATAATTGTGAGAATGTGCCAGCCAATAGAATACTTTAGACTAGTGCATTTCATGTTTAATTTCTAGACAAAATGATCTTAAGCAATGATTTCTATTTTAAGTAATTGTGATTCATGTGCTGTCAATAACATGACAGATTAACAGATAATCTTGGAGCTCAAGGGCGAGCTTTAAAGAAGCAAGTTGAAACAATATTTGTGAAAAAAATGAGTTGGCATAATATAAACTCTATTCTTTAAAAGTTTAACTGTGTCCAGAATAACTGATTTAGTACCTGAATTTCAGACTGAAGACATCCATGTAGAGCTACAACAGTGTAACTAAAATGACGAAGAGAAGCTCCCACAGTTGCATATTGCTGCCAAGGGATCCTGTGGCAGCTTCTTGAGTATCTTGGCTCCCAATTTGCTTGCATTGCCTGTTCAATTCTACACTATAAGATCTTCTATCATAAACACCAATTTCTGATATTCTATGCTTAAAGAAGAAAGGACACTAACTTACAAGTGTTTCATCCTTGGCTTTAGAATCTAAAATGGCCTCGTAGCACTTATAAATAGGATCCTCAGATGAATCATCTTCATTTGCTTGTTTTTCAGAATCATTAAAATATTCCACAACAGTAACTGCATCATTATTTTAACTATCAATTATATAGACTGAGACAGTAGAACCGTAATACCTTTTTTCATCTTTAATATGTATCAATTTTCTTCAGCAGTACTATGTTTTACCTTCAATAGAGTTGGCTATGCCATCAAGCTTTGATATGGTGGATTTATGAAGGTCTTCTCCTGACCAGTTCGGAAATACAAATAGGCTCATCACTAGACAAAGGGCGACACCAATGCATATGGTAGAGATGCGGTCTTTTGCCATGCTCAAGACATTATCAACGCGGTAACTTGATACAATTATCAAATTGAATGTCAAAAGAAATATCATAACACCATAGTCATAATTTTTCTTTATATAAGGAATGAATCTTACATAAGTAGCTGCAGCTCCTGCAAAACCAACAGTGGAAACAATGATTAAGCCAAATATTTGGGAATCTTCAGCCACATGACAAAAAACTCTATCAGATTTAAAATTTCAACAAACAGATACTTTTTTCTACAAGTGTATTAATGAATCAAGAGCCAAGTTTATTTCATGAAGAAACAAAGGTTTACCTAAAAGAAAAACCGCAGCCCCAATGAAAACCGCTCGAAAAATATGACCAGGTGCATCTGCAAGATACTCAATAAAAAATGCCAACAATCCTGCGGAAAGAGTCCCTAATCCTCTATTTAGTCCTTTGCATAAGGTTCCCCCTGCAATCATAATCAATATGTATGAAGCTATGATCATAACAGAAAACAATAATGATGTTAATGAGAAATGAGAACTGCTTACCTACAGTAAACTCCATCACAACCACCACAGTCATGACAGCCACCACAGCATTTTTTCCTATCCCTTTGTACAATGGATCCGTAAGATACAACAAAGAAATCAGTGTCAAAGCCAGACCAACTTTCAAAGAATGAACCACTTTTCTTGGATCATCTTTGCCGACTTTCCAAATTGTTCTCCTCAACAAACTTGGAAATCTTTTTGCTTTATCAGCAAAGCTGTAAAATGACTCCCAATGGCTTGAGCTTAGCTTAGATGTGTTGGTCTCATGATCCATTGAAACTTTTGAGTGAGATAGTCCGTAAAAGCTTTGGTTATGAGAAATGGTGTGTTACATTTAACTTACAATCTTAGGAGAAGGTGACAAGAGAAGAGAATATTGATGGTGCTACTGCATTGGACAATATATTTAAGAATAGAAAGACATGGTGGTAGCTTTCAGAAGTGCTAAGAGTCAATGATAAGTGGAGAAAACCAACCTTAAATAAACTGGTTGTCATCATATTGGTGATCTGAACCTTTTGATATTATTAAAATATACAAAGTCAGTGACATGGTGCATCTTCTTATAGGCGATCACACATAATATATGTTGCACTCAATTTATTTCTTTATTATAGTGTTCCTTGTTAATTTAATTAGCTACACTAAATTGGACTTTTTTGTTATTTTAAAATATTTCTTTCTACAAGGGTTTTCTAAACTATAATGACCTAATCTATTTGCTCAATTATGTAAGCATACACTAACGTGGACGGTTACTAGCAGAGCAGCAGAAACAGTGCTGAATTGATTAGTTTTTTAGAATTCAAAATGGCTACCACATGTCCACATGAGTATCCAATTAATTATTCTTTTTTTCAACATTCACGTTGACAGGAAATTGAATACATTGCTATTATTATCAAGCCAAACCAGCTGATAGGCATACCAAGTGATCAGATCCTAATAAATTAATGTAATTCTCAAATAAGAAGAATCTTATGATATGGGAGCAATTGTGATACCATTCTCTAGTATTTTATTATTACTGTTATTTATAACTTGAATCTTTTGAGCATGTAAATGATACAACAGCAAGAACAAAATATCTCATTTTGTTGAATTAAGCTTGGTTTAAGGCCAAGGATTGCATAGCAACTGTTAATTGTGAGTCAAACAATGCTGCAGAATGAAGAATTTAATCAAAGATATAGAAAACAGAATTGAGAATAGAAGTGTAAATAATAAGAGAAATTTATAATCTAGAAATGTAAGGCATGATGACAAAACCAACAACTCTTATTAACAAATAAATGAAAATAATATAGCACTTTTTCAAGCCGCATATTCCATACACCCTAGATTAACAGTAATTAGACTAAGCATAAAATAAATAACAAGACCATACATTCACCTATAACTTGCAGATGAGTCTCTAAACCATGTCACATATCACAGCACTTGCAGATGAGTCTCTAAACCATGTCACATATCACAGCACTTGCAGATGAGTCTCTAAACCATGTCACATATCACAGCACTTGCAGATGAGTCTCTAAACCATGTCACATATCACAGCACTTGCAGATGAGTCTCTAAACCATGTCACATATCACAGCACTTGCAGATGAGTCTCTAAACCATGTCACATATCACAGCACTTGCAGATGAGTCTCTAAACCATGTCACATATCACAGCATCTACAAAGGTGATATCAAACTCTCAACATAAACTTCTGCAGTCATCTCACTACCTTGGATGTTGTTTTGAAATTTAGGAATCTTAAAAGTATTATTTATGGAATCATAAACAACCAGACTAGATTTCCCCATCTTCAAACACTCCATCAACACTTGCTCATCCTCCAAAATATATAATGCCTTGGTATAGACATAAACACCCCATTCTTCCAAACGAGGAACACTAAACAATTTGGTCCATGACTTTTCATTTCCATATTCCTTCATAATCCAAATATTAGAAAACTTGTTACTATAAGAAAGGACGGACAAACAACCCCTCAACACCCCCAAGGTAGCGGAAACTTCAAATGTCATACCATAAAAAGGTGGTGAGAGCTTTTGATACCGTTCATTCTCCAAATCAAGAGAAACAATAACCCGTGCCGCAAAACTAAAAGCATCACATGCCAACCAATTAACAGTATCACTCACAAATACCCCGGGTTTAGGAATGATGTAAGGACACGGGAAATCCGGAATGGTTCTCCAATAATCAGTCCCCAGAGTATGAACATTAACTTCTTTTTTGCCATTACAGCAAGCAACAGAAATAATCTTATAGTTACTAGTGAAACGATCATACACTAGGGTGTATAAATTTTCAAAATATCTTTGGTCAGGATTAATCATCTTCAAAGGAGGTAATAATTTGTATTTTCTAATGGAAGGATTAGATAAAAGAGCTAAAGATTCATCTATAGCAAAACAGAGGATGCCGTCACAAGTGGTAACTCTCCGAGCATCGTTTCCATTGTTAACAACCGCTATTAGAGAGTGCCTATGGCTAAGGTGCGTTAGGGTAATAGTGAAATGGGATCCGAAAAAAGAGGAGATTGGGGAATGAGATAGAAGGATCTGACGTGCCCAGATGAGGTGGTGGCGGTCGTGGCTGGAGGTTGACAAGCGGAGGTGCTTCTTGGCGAATTTGGAATCTCCGGAGATAAGAGAATCCCATGATTGACATACGCAGCGGAGTCGAAGGAGGTGTTTGACGGGGAGTCTGCACAGTATTTCTGGCACCAGATCGAATGGAAGATGCGAGGCGTGAGGAAACGGTGATGTTAGGGGTTTGATTGAGGTTGTTTCCTCCGTGAGTGAGGGAGAAGAAGCGGCGTCGTTTTGACCATCCGTCATATCGAAGTGTTAAAGAAGAAAGAAATATAAGTCAGATTGAGGGTGCGACTGAGCAATCCATTTTATGAATATTTTGGCAGCTAGGATGGACGATGTCGGTGCTGCTGTACTTAGCTAAAATTGTTGATAAGTTCGCCGAATTAACGTGTCATCAATGAGCAGGTTACACTCATGCAACCTCATAAAGTAGAAGATGATCATACAAATTATTAAGAAACTAGTATATAAAATTAAAAAACGGCCAATTTTATCATATATATATATATATATATATATATATATATATATATATATATATATATATATATATATATATATATATATATATATATATATATATATATATATATATATATATATATATATATATATATATATATATATATATATATATATATATATATATATATATAATAAAATTGCTATATAATGACATTTTTGCATTCTTATGACCTCTTTACATGCCTTAATTCAGGGGTAATTAGGTTATATTACATACTTACATTAATTAATTATGATTATTTTTGAAATAGTGGGTGACATCATTGTCCCATTTATTTTTTATAACTGAGTTTATTCTTTTCATAGTATCTTTAACACAGTATTAGAGTTCTCCAACGAGACTTTCTGCATTCCATCCTACTCTCCATAAAGATGCAAACACATTTGGTATATACTCCCTCCATTCTCTTTTATAAGCAAATTTTGACTTCTTAGATTCATTCAATAAATGATGTATTTGGACTATATATAGGTTAGATGCATTAATTACTTAATGAATCTAAAATGTTAAAATTTGCTTATAAATAGGAATGGAGGGAGTACAAATCAAAATCAAACTTCCAACACTGGCGTTCGCATTGCTTGCAGATTGAAAGGATAACGCGTTGAAAATGGGTAACGTCCTCCATTGATTAATCCTTCGTCCTTTGAATATCATTGTTATTCTTGATATACTATTTGACTTCGTGTTATCATGTTGTTGTCATCTATTTATTTGATATTATATATGTTGCTTTCGTCTCCGTTTTTTATTTTCATTTCTTCATGTGTATTTTTTTGTTGTTTTTCTGCATGTTGCAATTGTTTTTCTGAATTACTTGCTTTTAGTGACTTTAGTTTGTTAACATAAGTCTTAGGTTTATTTGTGCCTTATTCTTTTTCTTTTATTTTGCGTTTTTTTTTCACTCTTCATTTCTTTTGCATGTTCTCAATTATAATCTTATTAACTTTCTTTTATTTATGAATTTATGTTATTATAAGTCTTTGATTTATTTCGTCATGCAATCATTCTTTGTGTTGATATTGTTTATCTGTTTGATTCAACTTTCTCAACCAACAACATCTCTGAGAACCCAACTCAGTACAATCAACTAGGGGTGACAAAATGGATGGATTGGATGGATATGGATTGGATTGTTAATGGATGGATCAAAACAATTCGTTAATTCATTAATAATCCACTAAACTCTCTTAATAAAAATTCAATCCAATCCATTCAATCCATCCATTAACATATTTCTAATGGATGGATATTCATCCATCCAAAAAATTAATTTAAAAATTCTTAATTATTTTTTAAATTTCATAGAAACATAATTTAAATATTTTGAATTATTTTTTAAATTTCGTAAAAAAAACTTAAATTTCACAAAAAAAAAATTAATATTCTTAATTTAATAAGTGACAACATAATATCCAATGGATTTATAAAATGAGATGGATGGATTCATATGAGTTAGTGGATGGATTGGATCAAATCCATTAAATTATTTTTTGTCTTATGGATGGATTGGATGGATAAATTATTGAATGGATTGGATGGATATTATCTAAATGGATTTCATTGACACCTCTACAATCGACAAATGCAAATTCAGAAAAGCCTCATCATTTCAAATAAACAGATTAGGGATTAATTTGTCAAAGAAGTTTGATAGCGCGTTAGGTAATACATGTGTTGTTGCTGGGTCTAGCATGATTACGTCTACCGACTCTCAAACTAATGAGCTATTTGTGGATTTAGAAGATAGCAGCTCTGAAGGTAAGCTATTACTATATCATTCTTAAAGAGCGAAACTTTTGATAACACTATGTAAAAATACTTCATATTATTTTTGGCTGTAAAAGGATACACTTCAGATTCAAATGGTGCATTTGAGGATAATGTTGAATATAATTCAACCAACTTTACAACTGGATGTTCTTCTAAATCAGGTATTGAATTATTAGTTATAGTTATGTTTTCTATGATAACTTTGGTTGTATTGCAACTGACGAATAATTATCTGTGTTTTGTTGTAATTTCTATTAGGTGGTTATTACGACATAGAAGATCTAATTGAGCAATGTCATGTGTGTGGTGCAAGTATATGGTACCATGAAAGAAAAAATAAGTGGCGAAATGTAGTTCTTCCTAAATTTACATTGTGTTGTAGGAATGGAAAGGTTCAACTTCCTTTATTGAAAATGCAACCAAAAGTATTGCAGGAACTTTTTTTTAACAGTGAGACGCATGAATCAGAGATATTCCAATAACATATTCTATTATACAACATGGTGTTTACTTTTACGTCTCCCGATGCAAAATTGGATAATCATTTTAATAGCGGCAGAGGTCCCCCTACTATTCGTATTCAAGGTCAAACATGCCACAGAATAGGTAGTATGTTACCAATGTCAGGTCAAAATTCAAAATTTGCACAGCTATATATATACAATACAAAAAATGAAATTCAAAATAGAATTAATGGAGTCAGGTATGGCTTATAACTTATATTATATTTGTACATTATATACTGTATTTCTATTTATATTGAATCATGATATGTTGTCATATGTATCACATATGTTCTCATTAATTCATGTCCATATATTATGTATTTAAACAAAACCTTCTAATCTGTTATATATTTAAATAACAGTTTTGAACAATACAACTATATTTAAATTTTGGAGCTATTTTTCATTCAGTCTTCATGCATTTGCATAAACATTAGTGTAATGTTTATAACATTGATACATAATATTTGTATTTATATTATTGGATTGTAGGTCGATTAGTGTGGTTGACATTGAGATTGTTAGAAAATTGTTTGGTATGTATTAGTAATAATTCATATTTTATTATATTACTTTCTTAAGCCCATAAGTTTGTTAGAGGGTATTTTAGTATTTATCTTATTCTAGTAACCCTAGTTTTAGCTTATAAATAGGGTGACAATCATTGTAACTTTTAATCCTGTTTCTTCTGCCGTCATTCTTAATAGAATAATTCTACTTTTGCACCAACAATTGGTATCTAGAGCTCCGGTTCAGATTCATTGGGAAACACGGGAAACACGAGTGAACGTGAGGTCTTGTGTGTTTGATTTTGATTCTTAGATTCGTGTTGAATCTTGAACAAAATCTGATCAGAATTTTATTCTGTGGGTTGGGAAACACTGTGTGAGAAATCTGAGTGTATTGTGCAAGGTAGAAGATGAACGGAAACGGCAACATGAACACCAAACTTCCAGTATTTGATGGTAAAAACTGGAATCGTTGGATGATCCAAATGCGTGTACTATTTGGTGCTCAAGATGTTCTAGATCTTGTCACTGATGGTTATGTTCCAGTAGCAGCAGATGCAACCGATGAACAGAAAAACGCGCAGAAGGAAGTAAGGAAGAAGGATCAGAAAGCATTATTCTTTATTCATCAATGTGTTGATGTAAATGTGTTTGAGAAGATTGCAGATTCAACGACAACAAAGGTTGCGTGGGACACACTGGTTAGATGTTATGGTGGTGACGCATCAGTGAAGAAGGTGAAGCTTCAGTCCTTGAGAAAGCAATATGAGAATCTCAACATGAAGAATAATGAGAAAGTTTCTGAATACATCTCCAGAGTGATTCTGATCACTAATGAGATGAAAGTGTGTGGAGAAACTCTTTCTGAAGAAACAATCATGGAGAAGGTATTGAGATCCCTTACCTCTCAATTTGATTACATTGTGGTAGCAATAGAACATTCCAAAGATATGAGTACCATGAGAATTGAAGAGCTGCAGAGCAGTTTAGAAGCGCAAGAGTTGCGTTTGACTGAGAGAAACTCTGAAAAGGAAGTAGAACAGCAGGCTCTGAAAGCAACTTCTGACAGGAGGTATCAGAAGCAGTCAGAAGCCAGGAGAAGATCTGATGGTGGTCAGAAGTCAGAAAGCTCAACCTCTGATAGACAAAAGAATGCTCAGAGGGGAAAAAAGAAGTATGACAAAAGAAAAATACAATGTTACTGTTGTAAGAAGTTTGGCCATTTTGCTAGAAATTATTGGTAAAACAAGGAGAAGAAATCAGAAGAAGCAAATATAGCCAGAGGCTCTGATGACGAATCTGTGCTGTTGATGGCCTCTGAATCTGATAATGTGGATCTGACAGACTGGTGGTATATGGACACTGGTTGTTCAAATCATCTTACTGGAAACAAGAAATGGCTGGTTGACTTTGACTCTGAAAAGAGAACAAAGATCAGATGTGCTGATGACAAATATCTTAATGCAGAAGGTATGGGAAATGTCAGAGTGACTCTGAACAATGGGAAAATAGCATTGATTCAGAACGTGTGGTATGTACCTGGCATCAGAAGCAATCTGATGAGTGTGGGACAATTAATTGAGAAAGGTTTTTCAGTTACCATGAAGGACAATCTTCTGAAGTTGTATGACTGCAATCAGAAGTTGATTATGGAGTCAGAACAGGGAAGGAATAGAACATTCAAGGTGAATGTCAGAACTGCAGACTCAGAGTGTCTTAGTGCAACAAGTACTGAGAAGGAGAGTGAGCTGTGGCACAGAAGATTTGGTCATTTGAATTTCAGAAGCTTACAACATCTGAATTCAAAGAAATTGGTACATGGAATTCCTGCAATTAAGAAGCCTGAGAAGTCATGCAAAGTTTGCATGGAAGGAAAACAACCACGTTTACCATTTGCGTCAGAAGTTGCTCCAAGAGCAAAACATGCCT